ATGTGTAAACAGAACATATGCTATATTACAGAGTCAAAGCTTTCAAGTCGCAGAGCCCGACAGAACAGTGAGACGCGTAACATCGCCGCCGAATCAAGTGTACAACGAAGAGATAATAAGCTGTCGCCATCCAACATCACCGAAAGGACATCGTAAACATTGGCACATTTTAAATTATTTTATCTTTCTGATTACGGCGCCAAGTGCGCGACGGCAACGGCGCGCAAATCGTCTCGATTATCATATTTACCTATTACAGTATATAGAGAGTTTCTTCTGTACTTTGTAACTTCTTTGCGATAATAAGATGGCAAAATTCGTCCCCGGGAGACGATCACCGAATGAATTCCCTTGTATGTTTGTTTTCTAGCGTAACGATCGCAAGCCTTGTGTACAATGAGAAAAATACAGTAGGAAGATATTAGTGTTGGGCATTAACGCACCGCGTTAATGTTACAAATACGGTACGACTCTCGCTTTCTAGATAATGTTTGAAATATTTCGATAATAATGATGTACGCATAGATGCCAAAGGATCTGCGGCTAAGGAGAACCTTCGACATCGTCCTGCACATCACGCTATATATTTCTATCGTTCTCGTTCTCGCTCTCGCTCTATGCACACAGCAGTCAGATTGGCCTTTACATACTTTTAATTTTTTTTAGATAAGATTTTACTAACAATTCGTTCTCGTCACTACTTAGAATCAGCTTATCTTTACATCACATTTACAGTATTCCTGCCGATATGTGTTTGTTCACGTGGCACGGTACTTTGAATACAAGCTAAAGTTCCGGTTTTGAGATCCCATTTTTTTCATATTTTTTTTTCTATTTTTCTTTAGAATTTTCATCAGAGCCATCACAACGCATTTATTAGCGATAAAACGAATGTTTTCTAGCGAATCTCTCTTATTAGATGACATGATGTTGATTACACGCGAAGCACTTTAGCACTGAAATTGAATTGAACGCAGGGGTGTTTATTCGAACGATTATTACTGCACGATTAAAATAATATTCTATTTACTGAACTACTGTACTGATAAAAGAAGTACGTATAACGCATCCATGACAATTTTTAATCCTTCGCACACACTAACGTGCAGATCGCTGTACGTAAATCTTTTATAAGTACGTCCACTTGAGCACTTGAAATATTTAAGAGCCTTAATCAAAAAAACTTATCTTGCGCAATGCAACGGATATTCGAACACGTCTTGTGATAAGCACCTACTAAAGTTTCTACTAATGGCACGTATGGTAATGTACCATCATCATGTCATCCAAGGCACTTCAGAAGTCGAGTTACACAATGAAAGACACCAATAATATAGTTCGGTGAGTCAGTGTACCGAGGTACTTGGAGAAGCGTATAATTAACGATAATTAGCGGTAATCATAAACGTCATTCACTTATGCGCTTTATCGCATATCAGGTAAAGTTACTCTACGGCCGTGCTCTAGTGTCCGTCGTTATTGAGTTTAGGGCTGCGATCGAGAACATGAGACTTGACACAAAGTAATAAAAAGTACGAGGTCTAATCACAAACTTTTTTAATTGGTGTTCCGATTATTATTCCTTCCGCTATAAAAAAAAAAGGCTACGTTCCAAAATCGAAACGCTAGAATCTTCCAAATAGATAAGATTCACTACAGGGAGATGTTCTCCAACGCATCCCCAAAGTGATCGCATCGATCACACATTCTTCTCTCTATAATTCTTTATAGTACCCCTTTACATCGAGAAGTGCCCGCTGTACGGACGGATACCTAACATGATAATGCCAAGAGATTATTATATAGCTTAATTCGAAGAGAAAGAGAGAATACACTATAATAACGGAGATGCTCGCTCGATAAAGTGCAATTAGCGTTCTTTTTTTTGTTTTTCTCTTTTACATCTTTCGATGCTCGAATCTTTTAACAAGAGCCACATGTTTCAAGTGTTCTAAATCTTCCAACTAACTATAAAATGCAGAAATCGCTAATCGGTTTCTGAATTTACTCGTGGATATGTTTCGCAAAGGATAGTTCAGCTTTGCGATTAAACAGTGGTAAACATTGTTCAGCTGCGTGCCTCAGCATATACATACTTGTGTCCCAATTTACTAAATTTAATTATGATATTCATTCCAGCAATCAATCATATTTCCACGAAGGGACACGCAACCAAAATATATTTTGATTAAGGCGCGGTTTTTACGTGCTTTATGAATTTACTTTAATAACGACGTAACAGCACGAAATTCTCATTTGAACTCGAATTATAACACTGTATATTTATATTTCGTGTGAAAATAATTAAGATTCTCGATTCTAACAGTCTTGATACGAATTCGATAACATTATTAGTCTACAAATTTACACTTTGGAATCATTGTCTGAACGAATGTAACCATTTCCTATAATTTTCTAGATGCTCAACACAAATATATTTTTCACATTTGATCACCACGTCATAATTAAAAAAAAAATGATGCAAAAATAATGATATTAAGGGTTTTTATGATGTTATAACAGCAAATATTTTTTTTCTAAATTTTATTAATGTCACATTAAAGTATTTTACTTTTAGCTTTAAAATGCATTTTATTTCGTTTCGATATGATTTTTCATTTTCGGGATATAATAATTTGAAAATATTGTATTTTTAATCAATTTCATACATTTTTTTTATTTAGTATAATCCGATTATATTATATAATCAGAAAAAGCACTTATTTTCCACATAATCAATTATTTTCTGCTAGTATTCAAATGGAATAAAGTACCTTTTTCATGTATTACTTGACAAAAGATCTATTTTCAAATTGTTATATCTCGAAAGCGAAAAATCACATCGAAATAAAATACATTTTTCTTAAAGTTAAAAGTTGGTATTTTCACATGGCATAAAATTTAGAAAAAAAATTTACTATTGGCTACAAAATCATGAAAGCACTCAAGATTATCATTTTTTATCTTTTTGATATCATTTTTCTTAAAACTATAATGTGATATACCAGATAGATTTGGAAAACGAATTCGTATTTAGCTAGCAAGAATACATTATAAAACAGATAAAATTGTTTTAACAATATTTTATTGCAGACTAGTTATCATCGCAAAGAGAGCACTTTTTACTGTATTTTATCTGCTGACATAACGTGAAAATAATAAAGACATGATAAACAAGTCAGAGGGTCATTAAGTAACATTTTTCTTTATCTCTCATCGATTCATATATTAATGAGATAAATACTCGCGTTGTATATAAATCGGTACTATGAATGAATTGCACTTTCGAGCCGATTTCCTTCTTATGTCTTAGCAAAAATAAAAACGATACAAGCGTAAAAATAATTAGCTCGATTTTCCATTGTCTGTCTAGCATGCCTTTACAGTATACTTTATAAACGTGGCACTTTCAATGTTTAAAAAATAATATATTACTATACTTTTATAAGTGATATTTTTTTGTTAATAATAAAATAATTGTAAAAAGTATATGTGAACTAAGTCAATAATATACAAGTATCAAAATGTCATAATATACGATTAAATCAAGGCAAATAACAGAGATAACTAATACCTTTATGCTTATACGAAAATAATTAAGATCACGATATGATAGTAACATTACAGAATTGTTCCTCATGTCATCTTAAAATCAGGCACGCAAGATAGTCTATGTAAGTTTAGATGTGTATTTGTGCATTATGTACACCTTACGTTCTGTAGAAATAGAAGTAGTAGTGCAATATATATATATATATATATATATATATATATATTAATGTTAGCAGAAAAATGTACATATACGTTTTTAAGTTTCAAGCTAGCTTAGCGGATCCTGTTCAGAGCTTCATATTAATATAGTAATATCACTACGTATATGTTAAAAGAGAGGAGTATACATACAGGATACGTATTACATAAAATAGTACATTGTACAAGTGTCTGTGTAAGCATTTATATAAGCGGGGCTATGTCTCAGTTATCACAAAAAAATACAGAAACATGCGTTAATGAAAGAAGATAAAAAAGAGATAGAGAGGAAGAGAGAGAGAGACAAAGAAACAGATCAGGCTACGTCTCTGTGCACTAAGCGACCTCTCGACATCGTCTGCGTTTTGGTATTAAGTTTTTGCATATCATCGACTGGTGTAAGTAGATAGGAAACATTCTCTATCGTACCGAAGTGTATGTTACGGTGTGCGAGGATCGAATTACATAGGAACCGTAGTATGGAATCATATTCGTCCCAGATCTAATGATACAGGTCTCTAGGTTGCACAGAATTGTATCAAACAGCCGTGCTACTTATTATACCGAATTTTATAAAATATAAAAACTTGTCGTTGTACTGTTCGCGTAATGCATATATTTATATGTATATATACTTCTATATAATATATATAGAACAGATTCGATCTAACAAAGTGTGCAGGCATGATCGCAACACACAATCTTCAAGTCTTATCTCTAGAGATGTAACCGCCTCTTATTCTGTCAGATCGATGCGAAACGTATTCAGCGAAATGCTACGAACTATTGCTTATGCGTGTAACACAGGAAACGTCTTAAATCATAAGGATAAAGCCTGCGAACGTAATTGCCGTACTGCTATAGAAGAGGGTACAAATCGTATTGTATCGCATGGACCAGCCAAAGCAAATTGTAGTTTACGCCTTTCGATAATAATTGTGTTTTTGCATGTACATGTATATGTGTATATGTATATGCGTCACTGGCGCGAAGCAAATTGGCTCTAATCTATCCCCATCGCTCCCGTAGCTTGAAAGGACAGCTACGTCGCGTAGTACGTTGCCTTTCGCGTATTCTTATTGCACGCGTGATTCTAACGGTGCCTAAGGCTCAGCTCTTCTTATGTTTCCGTTGCTTCCTAAGTTGCGACACAAGTTGTCTTAAAAGAGAGCGGACAGAGCGGACAGTGCGTGTGTTGCTCCACAGTTTAAAGCGTTTGTTGCACATGTATAGCGGAGGCGAGTAGTTGGCGGGAGTGACTGGAATGAAGTGAGAAGTGAGATTCGTAAACATCAGGCTTGACATGATGAGCAACGATTCGCGTTTGCTTCAATTGCTGAGATTGCTCGAGGGCGGTGGCGACGGCTCCGTATGCTGGTTGTAGCTAACCTGCGATTGCTCTCGATATTGCATGGGGTTACCGCTGGAGGGGCCGATCGAGCCTGTACTCTCCTGTTGTTGTTGTTGCTGGCCACTGTTTAGCGCCAACCGTTGCATCTGACGTATAACTGTAGCTGCATGGTACGCTTGCTGCAATCATGACACAAGAAGAACATTTCTATAGCGCTTGGTGGGTAAAAATACATAGATAATTAATAGCATGCTAATTAACCGACAATACTAACCTTCCATCTTGATTTGGCAAAGTTCTTTTTAAGTTGTTCGGATACAGTACCATGAATATTTTTATTGCTAGCGGCGTTGCCGGAAATCCTGAAAATATTATATTGTTCATGTTATGAATGTTTAATTAGTAAAGTGTATGTTTGTATTTAAATTATTATAAAAAAAATAAAAGTATTTCGATATAATGTATGATAACAAGTGTATCATATAGGATGTCATTTATTAATTGTTAATGAGTCTATCATCCTGTTACGTTTGTCATTTTGCTAAATTATTTTAAATCATTGGATTATAGAAGCAAGTAATTATTCATTAATAAATATGATAATTGAATTACTGAATTTTTCAAATATAAATGAATAGCAAATGCTTAAAAATGTATCTATCACTACTTACTTAATCCATATATATATTTCAATTTCATTTCATGAACAAATAAATTCTTGTAATATTTGTGCAACTTTAAGATATAGATATATTAAAATTTACATTTAAAGCTTTCTTTGCATATTCTTGCTGTTTGCAAAATAACTCGGTTATTGCAGAATTTTATTATTTCTACATTAATATGCAAATATGCAAAATAAATTCTTTCAGTAATTTTCATTCTGAAATGATTTTAAAGATTCTTACCAAGGATGCGCAAGAGCCTGTTTGCAAGTGTAACGTTCTTCAACATTGACGCACATCAGCTTTCCAATGAAATCCTTTGCAGAAGCACTGATATCATCCCAATATGGCGAATCAAATTCAAATTCACCTACAATAATCTAATTAGTTTTTTGGAATATGTAAGTTTATTATATCAATCAGATATTTATTCCAGAAACATATTTATATAAATATTTACGCGGAAGATAGTATTTTAAATCAAACAAATATTTCAGTATCTAAAAATTACTTACTATTATATACTGTATACTTTTATTTTTAGATACTCATAATTTCAAATGTTAATATTATATAACTCTTTACTTATTAATATACAAAAATATCTGTCGTACAGAATATCTAAGATCTACCTTAAAGATGCAATTTCAAATTGATTTAATATTTTACAAATCCAATTAGTTTAAGTTTCTCTTCTAAGATTATTGATCATAAAAGTAGCGATTAAACCGATCAGATCTTATCGCGAACTGTCGCTTAAAAATTCATTTCGTTACCTCTCAGAATTTGTGCGAACAGATTAGCGTCATTCTCGTCGTAAAAAGGAGGATATCCACACAGAAGAATATACGAAATAACTCCTATACTCCATACATCCACTGCTTTGCCATATGGTTTCTGCGCTAGAACCTCGGGTGCTGCGGATCATCGAAATAATGCACGTTTGATCATCGATGTTTGAAATCTGTCTCTATTTTTTTTTCTCTCTTCTCCTCCTTCTCTCAATAACTCACCGACATATCCTGGCGTACCGCAAGCAGTCGCCATAATCCCAGAATCTTCCATCTTCGATAGGCCGAAATCGCTGATCATTATTTTGCTGTCCTCGTCTGGACTATAATATAAGAGATTCTCCGGTTTTAGATCTCTGTGAACAACACCTTGTTCGTGCATATAGTCTACTGCCTCGAGCACTTGTCTTATTAAACCAGATGCATCCTTTTCTGTGTATGAGCCCTTTTCGACAATCCTATCGAATAGTTCACCACCAGTAACCCTAATATGATTTGGAACATTCACTTTTTCAATATCTCGAATGCCTTCGGTATTATTATATCAAAGAATAATAGAAAATTTCGCATTACTCACAACTCCATAACTAAGTAGACTTTGTGCTTGTCCTCGAACGTCTCCAGCAATTGAACGATATTGGGGTGAGTTAGCCTGGAATAATATCATGTTTTCTTTTTCTAATTTAAAGCCATTATGTATTACGTATACAACAAGAATTGATTCGATGATTTTTAATATGTCATATATTAAAATAATCTGCACTCTTTATGATAATTGAGTAAAAGTCAATTTTATTGAACTTTGTATTGTGCTGTTATACGTTTCTCTGTAAAAGAACGCAAAATAAAAATAAGATAAAAGTTAATCAGAGAAGAGACTTTTTAGAGATAAGAACAACTTACTTTCCATTATAAATATTTATAATATAAATTATAGCAACATTATATATATCTGTATCTTGAAAAGGACCAATATGCAGAAGTTATAATTTAATAATAAGAATCTCTCTCTCAATCGTCTAGTAAATTGAACACTTAAATTGGAAAACAGTTCAACGCTCTTTTTACTATTGTTAAATATTAAAATATTGAATATAAATTCTTCTTTTTTCCGAGGTACAGATACAAGTATTCACTATATTAACTATTATTAAAAAATATACTCATTCCAAATAACTTATTTATACATAAATATATTCGCTATTATAATTATAATATTTACATATATAATTAACAATCTTGAACTCGCAAAATAATAAAATCGTAATAAACTTGTACATGATAAATAACATTAAGTAGCAATGCAAAGCAGCTTAATGTTAACTGCATAATATATTAATAAAACATGCTTCAATATTTGCAAAAATTATATCTTGGCACACAGATTGTTAATTAAATACAGACAATCACATCCACGTAAAGATAACTATTTACAAAGTATTATTCAGTAGCAACAAAGCAATATCTATTAAATATGTACAAGGATCTGAAAAATATAAGGGATTGTTCATTAGCTATTGTTATTGTGTTATATAAATAAAAATGTCAATGTAACAATTTAATTTATACAAATATGAGAGTAAATATACAAATATGAGAAGAAAGAAGTTTCTTTCTAAATTACAATTATTTCGTAATGAGTCTATATAACGACAATCTTTGCTCAACTTTAATTTATCCTACATTGTTTTCTCATGAAGCTCGAATATTTCATTATCTCTTGTACATATTTTATGTTATATTACCTTGAGAAAATGTGTTCATTATTAAATACGTTCGCTAGCTCGTTAAGATACAAACTTCTGTATGCAACATAATTGATCAAATCCTTCGCATATCAAATCACTAAGAACACTAGAACAGCATCATCGAATGAGTCAGCACGTGGATATGTGCAAGTTTTTTTTATAGATGGAATATATATATGAGCATGAAGTATTTATGTTATTATATAAGATAGTTTTTCTCCATAAAACATGACGCGTTTATTCTGATTTACGTGTAGTGATCTACTTATGATAGCTATAGAACTTACAATAAAGATAATCTGATAAGTAAACAAGTAGTATTAAAAATGCAGCAATGTATAACGTCCTTTACAAAATTGCTTACAATTAAATTTAGTAGTACAATCGTAATATTATCTACTTGTAATTTTATATCAACCAATAAAAAAGAAAGATTCTTCCGATTCAGCAATCTTTACGTATAAAATAGAAAACAAAAATAACACGTTTTCAAATAAATAAAAGAATTAAATATTTCAACTTGCCATTCCTTTGATAAACAATTAAATAAATGTGTATATATTTTTTTAATTTGTTTTACAAATTATTAATTATTATATAGTAAACAAAAAATTTGTATGTCAATATTTTATTTTTCTAAGTAATAAAAACTGATCAATATTTACAAAATATATATATATCTATATGATTGTTCGTAGTAATCAGGATATTTGATTTATTCTTTTACAATATTCGTTACGTTATTTCTTTGAAAGAAAACGCGTTTTAATATATAAAATAACACAGTTTTGGATTGAAATTTAAAAAGTTGAAATTTAAAATTGTAATATAATCTTATTTATTCTTTTAATATGTTAATATATTATAATACAAATCTTTTTCTACATATTTTCTATTTTCGTATAATTTTTTATACTGCGAATATATAAATAAAATTGTATAAAATGTACAACCAAAATTTAAAAGCATAATTGAAATAAATTATAACTTTTCCGCATGCCTGCGATATGATAAACGTTGCGCATATAAATTACGCTGTCGTGTCATCATAACATAAATAATATATCTTTGTTATCGATGTCATTGTAAACGCACTCTTCATTCTGAATGAAATTTTTATCTGATACTATATAATAGTTAAGTCTCTCTAAACTCTTATCGTACAAATCAGATTTCACTCTGTGATTATAGCAATATGTAATTATCTAACGGCTGTCGTCAAATTTATTTACTGCCAATTTATATTGTGTTTTTACTTGAAAAGTCATTCATTTTTACGACGTGATTATAAGCTTACATAGAATTTGCATGTGCAGTAGGATAAACAAAGTATTTACACAAAGTATTTATCCCTTTCTTTCTAGATAATTTTGTACAGAAGAAAAATGCTACAAAGTGCTTTATTTTATACATTAGCACGAGCATTCTGACAAAGCTCTTTGCAGTAAAATTTATCTCTTCCGCGTAAAATTACCCCAAGAAACATGGGACGTGTAAATTCTCCCTTTATCTATTCACTGTAGATTCTCGCTTAGCGAAAGGTGGCAAGTACAAGGATACCAAAACTGTGTTTAACGCTACGTCGTGATGAACGTGCACAAGTCGTGCACATTGTGTCTTTATATATAGATAACAATACATAATCTGAAATGTAAAAATGTATGGCATATCGTCGAGTGATACAGAATATACTGCGAGCGGTATAGGTAGCTGGTGCCCATACTCTGGGGCCCGCACTTACCATCTCTTTTCGCCACTACTATCCGACTTGAGTGATCCGCCACCACTCTGTGGTGTCGCACTTTCACTGAACCTACGAAGTATAATAAAAATACCATACACAATTACATAATATTACATCGGGAGCAGCTGATCGCTTACGAGGTTTTTCTGACTTTATATTCTTTACCATTGACGAACTCCATTCTCCCTGCGTGATGTATAGAAGATGGATTTGTGTAATATAAATTGATGTATATAGTTATACAAACACGGTGCAGCAGAGTTAGTGTCGCGTTGTCGCGAAAGGCAAGTGGTAGCGGTATGAAAATAGATGTATCTTTACCTTCGACACACCTATTATCAATGTGTGCGATCGATATTATTGAATTTCCATGTATGCATGCAATATTTTTTCGCGAAATTTAAAATATAAACTTTGATACACTTATTTATAAAACATGTAAATTGAATTTTTTATGTAAGTTTCACATCCATTATATTTAAGAGAAAACTTTGTCGTTATAAATGTATGCATGTTTTGTGGTTTCTCGATGTTGGTGCGTTTAACATGATGTATAGAACAAGTTTTCAGTTATAAAACTCCGAGTATGTGTATGATGGACATGTATGATATACATATGTATGATGTAGCACCTTGTATCCCTACAGTATTGATCAATAAATGATAACATAACGATACAATAGGATTCTTAAGCATTGATTTTTCTTTGCAATTACTGTTAATTCTTTTAGCACGTCTCGATTTAGCTGATATGTAAGTCGCAATAAAATAAAATAGAGCGACAGAAAGAGTTCGATGCTAATAAACATCGGAAAGTATCACTTTAACACGTATCCAAAGTGTTAAAAAAAAGACATTGTAAATACATATATCCATAAGGATAAAGAATTGTAACAGAAGACTTCTGAGTCTGCATTATGTCTGGTATATGTTTAACAGCATCGAGATTTTATATATATATATGTATATATATATATATACATATATATATATATAACTTATGTACGAGACACACTATTTGCATACAACATCAAAGAATAATAGAAGGACAGACGACAGCCATCAGAGCTCACTCCCAAATACCATGTCACAGCGCTCCTCGAAAACAAAAAACTTTCCGAGAGCATGTTACGTGTAAGTTGAATTATAACACCATGATAACATCGTATAAGTGAGAAAGCAAAATGATTGGGTAGCTTATAGATTAAAGCTATTATACTTTTCCCATATGATTAATGATAACAGAACAGATATCGAACAATTTATGATTCTCAAAATAATTTTCCAAGAAAGCAAAAGTCAATAATACCTTTTAGCTTTACACTTGCGATGCCATGATATGTGAATCTATCTGATATATTCAAAGCTACAAGGGTAGGAGGGAATGATACTCAAAGAATAGTATGATTCTTATGAGGTAAAGAATGTTTGTTAGAGAAAAGCATGCGTATAAGTATATTGAAGTCGATTCCAGCGATAATAGAACTGGTACTTAAATTACTCAATTGTCATGTTTTCCAAATATCTAAATATCAAGGAGCAGCTATATACCACAAACAAGGAGTTTACAGTACTGGTAAACAAAAAATTTTTCTACTAAAAATACATATGGCCCAGCTCTCAGAATCGCTTTGCGCCTTACCTTCGCAGAACTTTGATTTCATTCTCTAACGAATCTTCCTTGCCCTTTAGCGCCTTTTTGTCGATGATCTTTACGGCAAACATTTGACCCGGCTTCTCTTTGCTTTCCGCCAGTCTCACTTCAGAAAATGCTCCCCTAAACAGAGGAAAATACAATATTTTAGCACAATAGGTCCAAAGTAAATTTGTTTACAATTAGAGACCCTATATGTGTATTATATTTTTGAGGTAGTATTTATCATTTATGGCATTAAATTGCAGTTTTCTTTAAACATATACAAAAGTATAGTTATAGTCAGTTATAAATTGGTCTTTACATACATATGCACCAAATAATAAATTCTGACATAAATGCCATGAAATACATGTCTAAGCGTTACTGCAGATGTATTTTGAAAAGTATACGGAATATACCAAAAAAGTATTATCTAAAAAAATAAAAAAAACATTCTGCTAAAATTTTATATTACATATTTTCATGTTTTTTTTTCAATAAACGAATTTCAGAAACATGAATTGAATAAATAAAATATGATTTTAATTTTAACACTATTCGTGAGCATCTTAATAAAAATTATCTACTTTGCAAATAAATATACAAGTTAAACCTTTCTCTTTAGAAAACAAGCTCCTACAAAAATATTGTTACAATTAAATAAACAGAACAAGATTCAATAATTTTTAACCTTTCTTTATTTTTATATTTTTACAATTAAAAAAAATATTCGATTATATTAATTTCAATTTAAGTAAATCAATATACTTATCTGAAAATTTACGAAAATTATAATAGCGTTATGTGTATATGACATGAAAACATGACTAGACGTTCGATGTTCTCAATCCAATATTAAATGTTCGTTATATTGCAATGTATTGCCAAACTGTTATATAAATGGCATGATAATTGACAAATAGTATTGATAGATTTCATTATAGAAATATATGTATATCAACGATTCTTTAAAACATTTTTTGATAAAATACAGATATAAAAAACGTTCAACGTATACAAAGCAAGGAAGAAAACTTGATAGTATTCAGCGCACTTGTCCAAGTTGATCTCAATCTCAGTCAACAATCATTAAGTATTTAGTTGAAAAGCACTGCAACAGAGTGAAATTATAATTTTACTCTTTTAGCTACAAGAGAAAAATAAAGAAACACATAAAAAAATGTGTATAATAATGATGAGGTAAGAGAAATATAAATTTTTGTTGTGAGAGCTTTTAAGAGCTCGTAAATCCGATGCGCGCGATGTAACACTAAGATAGAAATTCCAGCTGATGACACGTTTAAGAAAGCAATTTCAAAGTGCCGTTATGGACGCATATACATTAGATTTTAATGCGATTTAATGCATACTAAGCGTTATTCGAAAACATCTTTCATAAGCGATATCGCAAAAGGAAGAAAAATACGCAAAAATCGTTGGTCACAGGAAAAAGCAATTCGTGATTTGCAAAAGAAAGTTGTGACGTATTAGTGGGTTCATTGATACGAAAAAAAAAGAGAAGAGATTAAATCGCGAACACTTCCATTTAGTACGCGCCTCGAAACTGGAAAACGCGTGTCGAAGGTCAAGGCATACGTCTATTGTAGAATGTCCAAAAGTCATCGGATATCTTTTCAACTGTCGGTTCTTTAGTCAATTTAAGATCAATTTCTCCTTGACAAAAACATTGGAAATGAATCAATTTTCAGTATTAGTTTCCTGATTTTTTTTACAAAATCGTCAGCAATAGAGCGTTAGGTGAAAATTCTAATAAAAATAAAAGTCACTCAAGATCATATACATAGAAAAATACATACTGTACGCAAATGATAATTTCAAGTATTTCAAAAGTTCACATATATATATAATCTATTATGAGTTCAACAAGTTCACAAAAACATCGACTTTATTCAAAATATATTGTGAAAATCCTAGTTTACTCTATTTCAATCAAGATTATTATTAAATTAAAACAAAATCGATTTGCTTATTATATAAAATCGCTTCTTCAATCAATTTTATAAAAAAAAAATAAATTCTTGTTTTGAGTACATATTAATGAGTTTTTCTAAAATTTGTAATAAGTATATTTTAAGATAATTATCAAAGAAAATATTCTTTATCAAATAAATTTAAAAGAAAAAAAAATAAATTGAGTAATCACTTTTCTTAGTAATAGAATAATATTTTTCTATGTGTAGCTATAAAATAAGATTTTCTCATCAATCCTCTTTTTTTCGTAAAGCTCGACTTCACGAGAAATTCTTCATCTTGAATCATTAATTCTATTTAAGAAAAAGCTATTGAAACCTGACATTTTCATTTAGAAATCAATTTCCGAATCGCGATCGAGGAAGCTGCGGTTAAAGGAACACGCGACAACCTACAGGGACATCCCGTATTCATATATGTCACACGAATTTCGTCGGATTTAGGACGGGCGAGAGATCATCCTGGGAATCCTGAGATATCACATGAAATGCATGCTCATATCATGTTTCTGCCAAAAAGAAATGCATGCGCGCGGGAAAGAATAATATCGCACGTGAATTTCGAACGACGTTCTCATTTTTATTACTGAACAGGTTTGCCTATGGTCGTACATTTGCAAATTAAAATCGGTCTATCTCTCCCCTTGAATTAGGTAGTTATTCATGCTCTTCGACATGAAAAGTTTTTGTGTGTTACTTTTTAAATTTCCTAATTTGGACTGACTCTCTCAAAAATAAAAATTCATTCTTGAAAAAAGTAAGATTTCACTTTTCTTTTTATAACGCTGTATTCTCTAAATTCTTTGGAATGAATCTCAATCGAAGGTCGGTTCATATATCGTTCTTATTTTAAGATCATCTCAAATAATGTCTTAAGATGCAAGTCTTAAGACATTATTTAAGACTTATCTCAAGACTTAAGATCGTTTTAAATATAAGAATTATGAATACCGGCCTTCGAATGAGATACATTCCAAAGAATTTAGAATACAGTGTTATAAAAAAAAAAGTGAATATCAACATTCTTCCGTTCCCCTTTGGCCGCAGTTACATAACTGTTCTCATAAGCAATCTGTTACACAGAGGAATCGGGATGTCACGCATACGCGACGCGTGGCAGGCCACGAAAGTGTTAAAGCTAACGCTTAATCGATCTTGCAAAAGATATAACGCGCAGATATACATGTCGCCTTCCCTTACCGTGCAATCCGCTATGTTATCATCCAAACAAATGCAGAAACGTAATAAAGTAGAAATAACATTATATAACTTGGATTTTCATCGACGAAAGAGAATTCATCATAAATGTGTACAATATACGCATACATGAGAGCAGATAGGAGTTTTATCTTTATCGGAAATGTAAGCGCGTAAGAAAATATCAGGGACTTTACATTTGTTTGTCGTAATGTTTCGCATATCTCACGGACGTGGAATGACGTGTTTTCCAGAGTAAAATGCGAGATTGAGATCTGGATATGTCATGAGCTCTTTAATAAACGTAAATGGCGATTAAGCCAGAAATTGGATATCCATTGGAGTCACTATATCAAATTAATCTGGGAAAGGAAGGTGTTTTTATCCGTGACGTTTAATCCGCTAAATTCCTAAGCCCCGCAATCTCGTGAAACATCGCGGTGCGATAATCACTCCGACGATTAAATTCCCGTTAAAGAGGGGCTGTTGAGCCGTTTTACTACAAAGAAGAAACATGTGTTAGAAACGTGTTTTCCCTCGGCTCCGCGTCAAGTGCCTCAACGGGTGAGGGGGTGGATGGAAATGGGGGGCGCGTACGTCTGTACTCTGTACGTCAGACGGGACAGGCAAGGGATCGGGGACGACGACTTACGTTCCCAGCAGGTCCTTTAGGATGTACTTGTCCTCGACGGAGGGCGATCGGTCGTCCTTCCCATCCTTCTTGATCTTTTTATTCGTGTCCTTCTTCCCAAAAAGCGGCATCTTGATCTCGTTTCCCTGGATCTCGCGTGTATATAGGTATAGGTATGTACAACACAACGTATAATTCTGTAGGCGCGCAATCGTATGTATATATATATATATATATATATATGTATATGTATATATATCTGTCACAAACGTCACACACTGTGTATTGGAGAGGAAATATCTTACTTATGTTGGGTCCCGCGGTACCTCACATTCGTGGCTCGCCGCTAATTAATGCCTCAAGATATCTGAAGGAGCGTGTACGACCGATCGGCGATCGGGACGACCGGCTGATCCCGACTCGTCGTCGTCCTCCGGCGCCGGCGCGGCGCGGCGGATCACCCGTGATAGCAGCCTGGCCGAAGTCACCAGCAGATTTCTCGTAAGAGTCCGCAGGATCGCCAATCCCAAGTGGTTCACCCTCGCCGATCGCTCTCGTTTGCCCGGGAAGCCCGTTAACCTCTGGTTAACCCGTCCGTCGATTACTCAACTACTTTACTACTATCGCCGTACGTCGTAGCTTCTCTTGCTATCGTTAAGCGTTCTACACCACCAGCGTTCTGCATCATCACGGACTCATACACGCGTCTTCGTATCGGGCTCAGGGTCGCGGCCTCGTCCCACCTCGCCTCGCCTCGCCTCGCTTCGCCTCGCCTCGCCTCGCCTCGTTTCACCTCGCGACTCGCGTCAGTCAACAGCAGCAGCAGCAGCCGCGGCGTACATAATTTCTATTCGTCGCGTCGTCGCCGTTGCGCCTAGTCGCTCTGTCGCTTCTCGCGATACGCCTTCATGACGCACGAGCTAATCGTAGGTCATAATGTCAGCGGCACACTCGCGGTGCGCCGCTGCGATGACACTGTACGCATCCGATGAAATTCGCAGGCAGGGGATGACAGATGACAGGAAACAGATTAGGTGAGGGTGATGGCAGGTGACCAGGTGACAGCGGATGACAGCGCTGAGCGCGCCCTAAGTTGACGCGACGTCGGCTGATCTAACGTCACGCGCGTCATCGCCAGTGTCGCCAACTGTCGCCAACTGGCGTCCCGCGCCGTACGCGCTTTCTATCTGCGCATGAGCAGTGGAAAAAAAAACTGTTCATGGACTCGTCGCATATTTTTTTGCTTGATTTTAATTAGTCTAATGTAATCAATAATTTGATTGAAGTGTTAGAACGATTAAACTAAATGAACTGAGGTCTTACTGATTTTAGCTAAGAATAAAAAGAAGGAAAATCAAGAACGAAAATCCTAGTAGTTCTAATTTCCTCATTGTTGAATTAATTATCAAAAATAAAATAAGATATTAAAAAATGTGTAACATGTATATGTATATTATGCTTTATTTGTTATAAAAAATAATTAGATTATCACTACGAATACACAACAAGAGAGAGGGAGGGAGAGGGAGAGAGAGAGAGAGAGAGAGAGAGAGACTACAAATGTGAATAAATTTATGAATACACTCCTATGTGTATGCAACTTCATGGTGTACATCGCTGCGCATGCGTAGAAAAGTCCCGCTTTGTGATTGCTATTTGTTTTCATTTGTTTGAGTCATGAGTTACTGCGTCAATTATAATTTTATTTAATTTTTCGAATGAATTGAATCAAAAAATGTCTTACTCTGAACAACACAAGACTGTTTTGCAAGCTGTTATACATGAAGGTGCTTTACATGAGGATCGTGGAAAAGAATTAGTTATAAGGTTATTTGGTACGATAAGTTGATAAAGTAATCTATTTTTTTTGTGTATGGTGAGAATATACGATAAGAAAATCAAATATCGGATTATCGACAAATTTCAGATCATAATAATACGGCACAAATATTAAGTGAAATAAATGCAAAATTACAACCATTATGCACGACCATAAAATGTATAAATTGCGAAGTTACTGGAGAGTTGTATTGGATTTTTATGAGCACGGTGCAAGATAAAACTGCTAGGTAACACTTACTTAAGTATTATTAATCAATGTATTACTTTTACATGAATTTTGCAGTTATGTTTATTTTTCAGCTTTGTTTCTCATTTTTCACAAGCAGAATTAGCTCTCTTGCGAAATGTATATTCAGAAATTATTACTTCTAACAATGGTTGTGTATCAAGTACATTTTGCCTTAATTTATGTTCATCATTAAATGCAAAACTGACTAAAACTGATGCCGAACTATTTCTACTTGAAATGGTCGATAAACAATGGTTATGCTGCAAGGTACTAAATTTTTATAATATTATATAATTCTGATAGTATGTCTCTTAAAGGAAAATATTATGAAGACATGTATCTTGCAGGATGGTAAATATTACATGGGAGTAAGAAGCATAGCAGAATTATTGCAATATTTTAAAGATACCTATGAAGGAAATCTTCAAATTTGTACTTTATGCAAACAGGAACTTTTTTATGTAATATTTTTTGTGAATATTGAATGCGTATCGTATTTTACAATGATGATAGGTTTTATCATTTTGCAGGGTGATAAATGTAACAAATGTGATGCTATTACACATGTTCATTGCCTCAAGAATTATGCAAGAAATCATAGTAGTTTGGGATGTCCTAATTGTCTTTTTTCTACTTCAAGACAGGATCTTTCTAGTAACTTTTCATCTTATTTTTAATTTTATTTTTTTCTTTATTATGTTTAACAATTTAACTATCGGTATATTTATTATATCAATCTTCTTGTATACATATTTACCACATCATTTCTTAATATTCAAGTATTCAAGATTTTTCTGAAATATTACGAAAAATATTATAGATAGTTATAAAAATATTATAGGTAGGTTTAACACTAGTACCATGGATGTTGAAGATGCCTCACAGACGAGTATAGAAATACACGAGATAGCACAGTCTAGTCAAACCAGACAATTAAAACGAAAACATAAGAATGGGTTGATGTAAGATCTTTCGTTTAATCAATTATACGGGATTGTTTGGAAGAGATGAATGCCGCAAATTAAATATTACATTTATTTTTATTTATATAAAATTAAGTTACTATCTATATACAGTAAAATTACATTCAATATAATATTAATAAACAATATTTTATTATGCTCATTTACTATGACTTGCTTCGAATTTTTTTCTTAAATATTTGAGACCTGCCATAATGTTATCTTCGTTTATACTTCGTGATAATGATTCTTGTTTGTTTGTGTGAGTCACATCGTTGGAAGCTGAAGGTAAAATGTTATTTTCACCAGGAAGAGGGATATCCATAGTTGTTTGTTGTTCAGACATGTATATCTCAGAGTACCCATATATATTTCGTGAATAATTGCTAGATAGATGAGATAACGGATATGAAACTGTTGTTTGTCTCTGAGATAAGTTAGGTAAAGTCACGGTAGGGATTAATGTCGGTCCTATTGTATTTTCAAACAATTCAGAAGAGTTATCAGCTGCATTATATTCTGGTAAATCGGTTTTATTATTCTGACTATTGCTATCAATATTTTTCACAACTGAGATTGTTTCATTATCGACAGACTCATTACTACCTTCATGATTCTGTAAATTATTAGATTCTTCAATGGATTCCTGGGAATTACAAGTCTCTATGTTGTCCAGTTCTTTGTTTTCTTTAAGAGTTAAATGTTCATCGATACTCTGAGAACTGTTATAAAATCCGGTACTTTTAAAGTTATCATAAACTGGCCCAAATTCGCTAATTCTTTGCGCTCTACATTTATCCACCCATTCTTCTTGCGACATTATGTGCCAGTGATTCTTCTTGTTTAAAAGTTCTCCAAAAGCTTTTATCTTATCTTCGTCACTAGTCTTCTCTTCTTGGATAGATTCGTTGATACTTGTAGATGCATCATCAACTTTCTCCTTAGAGTTTTCTTTATCTTTCTCAACAGATTCAACTTTGCTAGTATTAATATCGTCATTTGAATTAGTTAACTTGTTTTCTTGGACTAATTCCTCTTCTGTAGGTTCTGCTGGTAAACCTGCTCTGATACGTTGTCTAATTCTCGCCGCCTTTAGTCTATTCTGTTCCAATCTTTCCTTCAATTCCTTAGTTTCTTTCATTTCCCTCTGCTTTCTCTCCGTTTCCTTTCTTAAGTTTGCCAGGTTTTCTTGCTGCTTTGTTCTCTCCTCTTCATCTTGCGAAAATGCATAATAACCAACACCATGTGTTCGTGCTTCGTCAAATAATATATCTTGATAATGTATGTCCACCTTGTCCACAAGCTTTCGTGTTTGCTCCTCCCATTTTCTTCTCATGATTTCTATCTCAGGTTCTTTCTCTTGAACAGGATATTGTTCTTTATCCTCTTCTTCTTTGTCTTCGCCAATATGCTTCTTCATTATTTCATGCTTTATCAATTCATCTTTCTTTTGCATGTGCGGCAAATCCTCCCGCAAACATTTCCTTGTGCGACCAAAACAATCCTGATACTCTACCCAATTTTCCTCTGACTCTATAGGGTATTCTTTATCAATCGTTTCATCCACAAATTCTTCATCAGGTTCATCTAATTTATTCTCAAAATCAACAAGAAATTTATCATTATTATTTTTGGATTTCTTCAATCTTTCGTATAATCTCGCTTTGGCCTCCAGCATTAATTTTGACTTTTTGTGAGCGATGATATCTTCCGAATCCATAGATTTCTTGGTATTTTTTTTCACATCATCTGCAATAATCTTCTTGTTTTTTTTCTTATTCAACAATGGTGGTATATTAATAGACTCAGTTTTCAACTTGACCTCGTTTACTTCAGCTTGCTTTCTTAACAGTTCTGCCTTTAAACCCACTAGGGATGAAAAGTTGACGTTTATCTTCTTTGTCATATTCATTGTTGGAGCTTATCAACTTGCAATATCATCTAAATAATTGTTATTGTTCTTTATAAAAAAAGTACCAGAAACTGTTCATAAAAAACTCTGTACATGTATCGATATAATCGACGTTTTTTTATCTGAAAAACAATATTATTTAATAAATAAATTTACTGATGACGATAGTATATTTGTATGTTTGACAAACAATACTTACGTAAATTATTAGCGTCAATTATTTGACAGAAAGCCTGAGGCAGATGCTCTATGTACGATTATACAAATCACAAAAATAAATTTCATAACATTTCACAAACAGAAAATTGGAACGTTTATAACAGGATTTTTATGATTCTTTGATGCTTTTTGGAGATGACAGATGATTACGAGATTAGGTTAGGTCACAGAATATATAAATTTATTAGAGAGTGAATAGGTCTGGTTTTTTACTCTGAACCGGTACAATAAGTTAAAGTGAAACAAACGTACAATATATTTGTTTCACTTTAAATTATTGCACTGTACTAGTTCAGAAAGTGCGGCAATAAAAAACAGATCTAATGGTTGCGTTCAGCAGAGAAAGCAGTTTTCCAACTATTGTAAAATTCTTGAATATGATTGGTTTATTCATTTAGATCCAATGAGGAACTAAGGGCAAGACCAATATTAAAGAATTTTACAACAATGCAAAGCTGCTTTCTCTGCTGAACGCAACCAATAATAATAGGCAGATATTTTCCAGAGAGACTCAAGGAAGAGTGGAACGGATAGCGTTCTCTTCTCTGATTGGTTCCGCCATTTTAAGAGTCGAACAATCGATCCTTAAGTAACGTGAACAGACTCACATATCTGGGTATAATTTCTGAACGAACTCCAGTATGGTAACCCTACGCGTGACAAAACGTGGAGAAGCCATTTTACTTCGGCGCGCGTCAAAACTTTTGAAAGTCACGTGACGCGTTTGAAAGTCATAATAGTCATATGTCGAAGACATTTATAAATCTTTCTTTCTTGCATCCATTAAGAAATCTCGCGACATTCTCGAATTTAGCTTTCTCAGTTTGAATTTCTAGAAAATCGTATATCGTATCGTTACAGAAAATCAGCGTCTGATTGTCAAGCTGAAAAATTCCCAGCCGAAATTAAAGTTGCTAGAAAAACGTGGCAGGAAGGGGCGGGGTGAAGCGAGGAAGTAAGGAAGGAACTCGGGAAGAATTAAGAGGCCCATCTCTTATAAAGAAATCTTATATCGAAATGTACTGACAATACTAAAAAAAAATCTATAACATTTAGAAGCGATACTGAAAATCTACATCATAAATAACACCAATTATTTAAGTTTTCGATATATACTTTTAGAATGCACCGTTGAGGTGCCGAAACAAAACGTCCAATAGAAGAATAGTAGGAAGAGGAGGAAGTCCTCGTGATCATTGCAACTCGACAGTTATTGGCGACGGTTATCAATTCGGAAGATCGATTCTCGATTGCTCGTGCAGCATCTAGAGCGCAGTTGCGCCGTTCGTTTTGCTTTGTGGTTCGTTGTCGACGTAGCGCGGTACCCTGGGAGAGAAGTAACATTTGTGATAGTGCTAAGCCGGCTGGATCAGTGATTTCCGCAAGAAGTAGAACGAGGAAAGTTCTTATCGCTTCTTATTGTTCCTTGTGGCCAATTCCATCTTAGCCATCATTCGATTATCCTTCGTAACTATTTTAGAACAACGACGGTGGTGGTGCACGCGGTCTCTCGTGGTCCAACGAGAGCGGCTACAACGACATCATCAAGAGCAAGCCGGCGAGTCAGTTGGAGCTAAATCTGCTAAATAGCACGGCGCAGGCAAGCGAAGCAGGCGGCGGCGGAAAGTGTGGCTGTCGCTGATGGCAGTGTGACTCCACCGAAGAAGAGGAAAATACAGTCTGTTCAATAAGAACGTGATGCTCATTATTCTACAAAGAGCGACCGTAACGATATCTTCCTGAACTCGTTTGAACCTTTATTTCGTGCTCTTTTGCGCAATATATATCCTACCAGCACATTGTGTAGTTTACGTCAGCGAATTTATTATTTTTACAATGAGTGCCAAATTCTTGAAGCGGTACGAGGCAGTGTTTTTAGTGAACCATGCGAAAGGACCGGGACTGACGTATAAAGCGGCTGCAAAATATATACGGAAATCGGAGGCATTCGTCAAGAAGTGGGTGCAGCGATATTTGGAGGTTGGGAATGTAGACAATCTGCCGGAGAGGGGATTATCCCGCGCAACAACAACGAAAGAGGATAAAGCAATCCTGCGTCTCTTTCAAGATAAACCAGGCATTTCGCTGCGCTATGCTCAAATAAAACTTCGTAAGAAAGGAATTGCCATCTCTCTAAATACGATTCGAAAACGCCTGTGTGAAAAAAATGTGTATTTTCGATCAACTTTGAAGAAGCCTTTATTATTGAACAGACACTTTCTTATTGAACAGACTGTAGCTATAAAATCAGCGACCGCGGATGAACCGAAGCAGACTAAGAATAGAGACCGGCAAGCAAAAGCGAGTAAGGAGGACAATGAGGTAGTTAGCGAGCCGGCGAGTTCGCCAAAGAAGTCACGCAGTAGACAGAGAAATGTTGCCGATACTACTACCGCCACGACTACCGCGAAAACCGGTACGAAAAGTAAATCTAAGGAACAAATCAACAAGGAACCTGAGGAAATGACGGTAGAGAGCAACAATGAGGAAGTGGTTGAGAAAAAAACTCGCAGCGGCAAGACCGCAGCAGTGGTGAAAAAGGCGGGAAAGAAGGCGACTGAAACAAAGTCAAAGACTAAGGTCCCAATTGTCAGGAAGCAAACTAAGACTAAGGATGTAGAAAATAGTCCTGTTCAGAGGCCTCGTCGCGCGAAAATAGTTGAAGAGAATGATGCGCCAGCACAGCCCATTGCAAAGGTATCTAGGAAACGTAAAAATGTGGAGGATACGAATGAAGCTATTGCAGAGATACAGACTATCAAGGAGAACGAAGAAGAGGTAGAGGAGAATGAAGCAAAAGCCAGTAAAAAACTTCGTGGAAGACAGAAGAAAATGGAAACTTCTAATGCACGTAAGTTCCTCTAAGTCCCTCTTGGAATTTCTTCTATTTTATCTTACATTTATCAGAATATTGTCGTTGCTATAATAAAAGTTGGCAAAGAGCAAAACTGGGAAAATTCTCATTTAAAAAAAATTACTAATAAATTTTTAATAAATTTCAATGTGAAGAAATCTGTAGCTTACAAGACATTACAGTCGTTCCATATAATTTAGATGTATTTGCAATAAATAAGAATGAGTAATAAACTAATTTATAAAATTTACTGATCTATATATTGAAGTTTTTATTAATATCCACTGAGCACCAAAGATTTCCATGACTAAATTTATAATTGTCCACTTTCTATATTATTTGCAGTATTTGTTTTATACAACAATTTTGTTGTTAATGTTACTTAAGCAATATTGTATACAACTTTTTGTTATTTTAGCTGTTGTGACCTCTAAAGGAAGATCCAGGAAGAATCCTGCAGAAGAAATTGTTAAATCACCACCAAAGAAAACAGAAAGAAAAAAACAAAATAGCAAGGAACAAAATGCAGCGATACAGAAAGATAATACAAAAACAAAAAATGTGAAAAATACAAAAAAAGGAAAGACACAAAAAGCGGCTTCTAAAAGAAAACTTAATGCTGTGATAGAAGAGGTCAATGATGATCAGGCAGAAGAATCGAATGAGGCAGAAGCGGTAACAACATCTGAAGTGGATGTCAAAGAAAATGGAGAAGCACATATGGCAGAACCTAAACAAAAGAAGAGAAATGTAGGTGAAGCCAAAGGAAAACAGAAAAAAGCACAAGTAATTGCATCTGTTAATGAGGAAGAAGCAACACAAGATGTAACTGCAGAGAATGAAGCTATTAAAACAAATGTAATATCAGAAATTGATGAAAATGATACAATTGTTTCTTCGAGTAAAGATGATATTTTAGAGAACGAAAAAGAAAAAGATGTCAGTGATGTAAATTCGATAAAAGAAGAATCTACCTCAGAAATATCAAATAATGAAAGAGCAGCAAGTTTTGTATGCCTTTAAAAAATACAGTTAAAAATACTGTTAAAAAATTGGATGGTAAGTTAAAGGACGAAAGATATCAACAATATTTTATATTTGAACTAATAGAAACGCACATGAAGAACCGCGGTTATATGGGGATGGAAAGAGGAGAAGGGAAAAACAATCTGATATTTTAATGTATTTATCGAAATATTTGCAGAGTAAATAAGGAGTTGGTTCTTAAGTCCTTGATCCTTCACTGTAGTTATGACTTGACTTCAGTATCGGATCCTATCAATCGAATCCTACGAATTTTAATGTTCTAAAAAGGATATTTATTTTTTTTTTGTAAAGAAAGAAGCAAAAGAATATATGAATATATACACTATAACGAAAGTTTCACACCATCGTTTGTATTATTATATAAGAGCTTGTAATAGAGCGTGATGAAAATGTTACCGGAAAATGTTTCTAACAAAACATATTTTTTTAAAGATATCTTTTATCGAGATTGTATAATATTGAATTTTCAGCTGTGTATCAATAACATGTAGTGCCATAAGAAAGTTTGATAGGATTTATGCGAAATTTTTTATTCCTATCTGGGCAGCACTGCTAAAATATTTGTAAGAAATAACATATATTATATATAAAAAATATGTATATAATAATTATAATAATACTAATAATAATTAATATTAATATATTGATATTATTATAATATTGTTATGGAGCAGAAATTCAAATATCTTGGATAAAAATGCAGATAATAAACATTTTTTTTACTGTTGCCCACATAGGAGTTAAGTATGTTACATATTTTTCTAAAGAGATAACGGATAATAATTATGCACACACATATACATATTATATTTCCGTTCTCTAGTCTAGTAGTTTTATTTGAAACATTTATTTCTATTACTAATGATATGGTTAACCACAATCGCTTTTAAGAAAATTTTGAGTTTGCAGCTTCAAATTTTTATGAAATAAGGAAGCGCTTTTGATGTTAAACTGTATATTCTTTTTTTTATTACTATTAGACTATAATTAATACTTAAACTTAATTGTCATTGAATGTTGTGTGTTTAAGTTGGCAAAACAGGTTGCTTGCTGAGTAAATATTGCTGACATATAGCAATATATTGTTGGACACTTGAACAAAGTAATATAAATTATAATTTAGCAACAAATTATAAGCTAAAAAGTAATAGTACATTTCTGTTAACAGACTTATTCTGATATATTTTATACTTTGCTATTTGCTTTACTAGCTTGAACACACTCATTGTTAATTAATCAGAATGTTTGTATTTTTTAAAAGAAGATTGTACATAATTCCAGGTAAAATCTGATAATTCTGAAGATCGTTTGCATTTTGTACGATTAGATATTACAATCTTACAAGCGTTCTGTTTAATAATAACTATTATATGCATTAATTTGTAAGCTGTTAACTTGCAATGTACGTGTGTTTGTTTCTATATAATATTAATATCCCTTATATCATATTGCTGTCCTTCACTATAAACATTTTCTTTTCTCTTATGACAGAATAAATCAATTTTGTGTTTATTTTTTGTGATCTTTTTGATATATCTGTAGGTGTCTTCCACCAAGAAACACACATGACATGACAGTGCATTACATCCTTGTTGTTCGCCATGTTAAATAAGGATGAAATGATCATTGTGTTGTACCGAGTTGTTTATTGGAAGGCACCGCATGGTAGTCACTATTTTATAATAAATGGCGAAAGTACACATCTTTAATATTCTTCTTTTTATATTTTCCCGCATAATTCATAACTTCTTTTTGATAAATCGATCAAAAAGTAAATTGACCAAGTCCATAGGCGTGTTCTTTTTAGCTAAACTTGCACGGTTCATCTTTCTTCCTTTTTTCTCCACGTTGAAGAGAAAAAGAGAAAAGATGAACCATGCAAGAATTAATGCAATAAAAGAATGAAACAAACTTCTGAACTAAAAAGAACAGACCTCGTAAGTTGGCGAGTCGTGATCTTTGTGAGACCGCCTTAAGGATACGTCGCATGAAAATCGGTTATGTGCTTTTACGGATAGCCTGTAGAGACGTTGAAGCACGTTGAAGGTGTGCTAAGCGTGGTACCTGAAGATACGAGGAAACAAGAATAATTTGTGAGGATGGCAGCGATCAGTTTATTGAATCCGAAGGCCGAGTTCGCCCGGGCGGCGCAGGCTTTGGCAGTGAACATTTCCGCCGCGAAGGGCATTCAGGATGTGATGAGGACCAACTTGGGGCCCAAGGGAACCATGAAAATGTATGTAGCCACGATGTATGTTCACGCGATAATTTTGCCGCTTCATCGTAGTCACCGTTCACTCTGATTCTTCGCGTACGTCTCGAAAATATCTCGAAACTCTTTGACTCCGAATGCATTGCAATGATTTTCATTCGTCAGAAATTCGTAAAACGTTGCAGTATTCCGACATCGCATTATTCTCCTTATTAGGAAATGACTTACGAGTTGCCGGAGAAAAGAGGGATTGACGTTCCGTGGATGTTGCTCCTCGATAGTAGTTTTTTCTTATTTATCATATCTTTTATCTTATTATCTTATTTATCATATTTTCAGTGTAACTTTCACATTAAGAAAACACTAATCAAATGACATAATCTTAATTAAAAATCTAGTCGTAATATTTATAATAAGTAACATGCTAGTTTTTAATCATGATTTTCCAGGTTGGTTTCTGGAGCTGGAGATATAAAGATTACCAAGGATGGCAATGTGCTCCTTCATGAAATGCAAATTCAACACCCTACAGCATCCCTAATAGCAAGAGCGTCCACCGCTCAGGATGATATGACTGGCGATGGCACGACCAGTACTGTGCTGGTCATCGGTGAACTTTTGAAACAAGCTGATTTGTATATAGCAGAAGGGCTGCATCCTAGAATGCTCACAGATGGTTTTGACTTGGCTCGTGCTAAGGCATTAGAAATTTTAGACTCGATGAAAATTGCAATTGAGCCTAATAAGCAGAGCCTGTTAGATATTGTGAGGACTTCGCTTAGAACAAAGGTTCACCATACCGTGGCTGACAAGTTAACCGAGATCTGCGTGGATGCTGTGCTGGCAATTAAGCAGCAAGACAAAGAAATCGATTTGCATATGATCGAATTGATGGAAATGCAACATAGAACAGCAGATGATACCACTCTGATTCGTGGCATAGTCACTGATCATGGATCTAGACATCCAGATATGCCTAAAAGGGTAGAAAATGCATATATTCTGACCTGTAATGTAAGCCTGGAATATGAGAAAAGTGAGGTATATACAAATGCGAAATGACAAGAATTTAATTAATATAATATAGTTAATAATTAAAGACATAATTCTCTGGATTTTAATTTTACAGGTGAATAGTGGATTCTTTTATAAATCAGCAGAAGAACGCGAAAAGTTAGTAGCTGCTGAACGCGTTTTCATCGATAATCGCGTAAAAAAGATTATCGAATTGAAGAAGAAGTTGTGCGACGGAACAGATAAATCATTTGTTGTGATAAATCAAAAAGGAATTGATCCATCATCTCTTGATATGCTCGCAAAAGAGAATATTATGGCTTTACGCAGAGCTAAGCGTAGAAACATGGAACGCCTAGCACTCGCGTGTGGTGGCGTAGCTATGAATTCTGTAGATGATCTGAAAGAAGAGCATCTAGGATGGGCCGGTCTTGTATATGAACATGTTTTGGTAAATTTCTATACTTCTCATTAAAAATGAAAGTTATCACATAAAGTTAATTTTTTCTATAAATTTAATTAAAGAAAAGTTAAAGAAAACTTTTTCTATAAATTTAATTTATTTTTCAGGGAGAAACTAAATATACCTTTATAGAAGATTGCAAAAAACCAAATTCTGTAACTATTTTATTGAAGGTAATGCAAATGGTTTATTTGTGATGAAGCATGCGAATATTCTAATATACTAATGTACTGATATTCTAGGGTCCTAACAAATTTACATTGGAACAACTTAAAGATGCTGTGCGTGATGGACTTAGGGCAATAAAGAATGCTATTGATGATCGTGCAATTGTTCCTGGAGCTGGAGCCTTTGAGGTTGCGGTTAGCCAAGCTCTTCAACGGTACAAAGAGCAAGTGAAAGGAAAGCAACGTCTGGGAGTACAGGCCTATGCCGATGCTTTACTCGTCATTCCAAAAACTCTCGGTAAACATAATACTTATGAATCTCTATTTTTATTAACATTGTCATGATTAAGCTTTTATTTTTTTTATTTCACAGCCGTTAATAGTGGATTTGATCCGCAAGACACAATCGTTAAATTATTTGAAGAAAGTTCTACTTTAGGAGAACCAGTAGGATTGGATCTGTCTACAGGAGAAGCTTTAAAAGCCGCGGATGCTGGCATTTATGATAATTATAATGTAAAAAAACAAATCATCAATTCTTGGTAAGATATTAAAACACTTATGTGTATGCTCTGTTGAATATTATAACTTACATGGATAAAAATTTTTAATTTTCAGCACGATAATCGCCAGTAATCTTCTTCTGGTTGACGAAATAATGAGAGCAGGATTATCTTCTCTAAAGGGTTAAATTACAATGTAATTCTTATGGAATTAAAAGTTTAAGCACCACTAATAATTTTTTTACGAAATAATTCAAATTATTATAATAGATTATCATCTATTTTGCATTACATCTGTTAACCAAATATGTTGCTTGATCTCTTGCTTTTGATTTAAATATTTAATAACACGATAATGAATTTTCACATTGAATAATAAAATAATGTTTTCGTAAAAAGTATTTCATTCACTTATAAAATTTCACAACGTCGTAAAATATGAACTGAAAAAGGTACAAAATATCTTTGAAAGTATGAAAAGAGAAATCGTAAATAATGAAAAAAATATATATATAAAAGCAAAGTTGAATCTTGACGCAAAAAGAGACGACTCACTAATTCTATATAGATTAAAAGATATTTGTCTTTCTGCTTTTTACTTTAAAAAATAGTAATTTTAATTTGTATGTCTGAAATTGATTATGATTACTATACTGGTCAATTTATAAAAATTAAAAATATTTATTTATGGTACATATATTTACAACGTTCTAAAAACTGTCATTATAATAATAGGACGTTTGTCAGTCTTGTATTTTCACAGAAAAAAAATCCTATTTTCTGTTATATATTAATATCGATAATTTGCTGAAAAGAATTCGTGTGGTTACTGGAGATTATAATATAATAATTAAATTCTAATGTTTAAATTATATCTGTATACCTCTCCGAAGTGCAATTTCATTGTAGAATAATACAATACACTTCGACAAAATTGTCCAACTTAGTTTCATAAAAATAAGGCATAATGAAATATTTACATGGTATGAAAAGAACATGATGTGACATAAATGGAGAAATATTTTTAATATTAATTGTCCTGTCATTCTGAATAAATATGTTGCAATTTTGAGTAAGATGTAAATTGGCTAACGCAATTGTGATTTTATGAAAGGTATTAAAAAAATAGTTTTTTTTTTAATTATTCAGCAATTTACGATCTAAATCTGTGATGTAATGATAAGTTTAACAATAATTCAAGAGCTCAGACAATCTTTTCATATATAAAAGTATCACATCAAACACATACTCGAGACGAGACATTTTAAAATATCCTATGATTACATTGTACTAGTTGTTCTGACCTCCTTTCCTGATGATAACTATGATCTCCATTTTCAATTATGTACAAATTGTATTTTATGAAATGAAAAAAATCACAAAAGCAAAAAAAACGCAAGTAATATGAGCATTAAACTATGATTTTTCGATACTTAAAACATACTGTATCCTTTCATTTTCTATCATCGCAAATGAATTTTATGTACAGAAATAAAACCTGGGGTTTTTGTTGCACTTACATACTAGTTTTTACAACAATCCACACTCAACTGTTCTTAATGCAAAAATTTTGAATCTCGATACGACATTAAAATTCTATCTACGATATCATACGAATAATTATTGTAACATTAATTCAAATTCGAAAGAATTGCAGTATATTTGGGATCTTTTCTAATGTCTTTCACTAATATTTTCGGCTTGATATTAATAAGCGTTGCAAGAGTAAGACAGTTAACCCGCATACTATGGCCCCCAACCACCATGTATGTATTCAACTCGGTCAGATTAACTGGACTGCTTGGTATTCCATAATGCGATACGAACTGTTTGTTCTGTATTTCTTCTTCCCCCTCATATCCCATGTTTGTGCTGTGCTTCTCCAATAGCGGCTTAAAAAAATTCGGCGGATACCTTGGATTCGTGGACTTGCGTGCGACAGCTTTGAATACACGTGGGCCTGGTCTCGCGCATGAGATAGCCGATTTGGTGGTTGATTTCCTCGCGACAGCCTGATGACTATTTCCTCTTGACGTCGAAGCATTCAAATTACAGTTCTGATCATTCTTATTCTTCATATCACCAGATTCGATCTGATTGACATGCTTTGTGATCAAATTCTCTACGACCGATTCGAAACTCGAGAGATTTTTCGAGTTCGTCGCGTACTTTTCAGTGTATGCGGGCAACCGTATTGATGTGCTAAAATATAGATTTTGCATGTATTTAATTAAGTGTAGTTTCTTGTAGAAGTAACAGTATATATCATATACATATACAAAAACGTTAAGTACTAAGATATAAACAACAAGCAAATCAGCTAATCATAGTAGAGAAGGTTATTTATTACAATAATAATATCACGAGTTAAATTGACTAGCAATTTAACAAATTTTGATACTTTTTCGCATCTTCAAACGATCTTAATTATGCTGAATGACATTAAAATCTATAAATAATTAATTTTTATTGCGAAAAATATTAGGTACTTTTTTAGAATAGTTACCTCACCTCTGATTTCGATGAAATTAGGCTCATTTGACGCATTTTTGCGTAAAATGAAAGAGTCGCAGAAAAAAGTCCGGGCGTGTCCTAAGAAGCGAGATATTGAGAGTTAAAGTTGACAACTATTGAGGTTAGGAAATTTGTCAAGTGGAGTGTATACTGTATAGACAGTAGTGCTTATTGATTCGGGGCGGCTACACCGCTTAGAACAAAAAAATAATATATCTTAGACAGTTCTAAACTTCTCACACCTGACTGCACCTCACTGTCATGAGTTAAAATTATTCCAAGCGGACACTGTCTATGAAGCAACTTCTAGACGGTTAGGTCCTAAGCGGGATATATTATTTATTATCCACTCCAAACTAATAAGCACTAATCTATACATCCTACTGTCTACATTCTACATGATTAATGATCGTGTTATATAGTAACACTTTAGTCAACTTTAACACTCAATATCTCATTTCGCAGAGCAGACTTTTTTCCTAGACTTTTTTCTGCCAAATTCTTTCATTTTACGCAAAAACGCGTCGAATGAGCTTAGTTTCATCGAAATTGGAGGTAACTATTCTGAAGAATTACCAATTACCTCGGTCAGGAGTCGAATCCGAATCTCTTACATTCCATAATCTGTGCGAGCGTCCTAATAAATCTTATGCTCGTATTCATAGGTCTTATATTTAAGGCTTCCTTGAACTCGTATCTACATAGATTTTTAAGCCTTAAAGAATGGACGAATCACAATCAATTATTCTCCTCGCATTCGACTGTAATTGGTCAATTTCTTATGGCTTATAGCTTAAAACATCCATTATAGATCCGGACTAAATTTATCTTCAGATACTTTACGAATTATTTCATTCGCTACTGAGCATCTAAACATAAATTTAAGGAAGCCTTAAGTACAAGGTCTGACTAGGTTTGTTCGCGTCGCATATTCCAACATGCTCCTGCCATAGTTCCCATTCACTCTAATGAGCACATTGGAGTGAGTAGGAGCTATAATGGAGTATGTTGGAGCATGTTGGAGCATGCAACGTGAACAAATCTTATGAATACAGGCATTAAACTACCGAGGCCTTCGCGGCATTTACAATGAGAATTTAAGATGTAAAACTTAAGCTTTAAGCCATAAAAAATTGACCAATCGAGTCGATTGTTCTCATATTCGATTGTGATTGATCAATTTCTTATAACTTAAGGCTAAAAAATTTTAGATCTTAAACTCTCATTGTAGACGCTGCTTTAGTAAGTAGTCATTTCGGCGCGCATTTCAAATGACAACATATGTAGTATTGTATATAAATTTACATAGGTCGGTATTCATAGTCGATTCTTATTTCAAGGCCGTCTTAAGTAATATCTTAAAACGCTAATGCAGCCTTTTGATTAGTTCGTGACTTCTTAAGACCGTATTTAAGACGATTTTGAATATAAGATCTAACTATGAATACCGGTTTCTGATTGCTTCGTGACTTCTTAAGATCGTATTTGAGATGGACTTAAATAAAAGATCTGATTATGAATACCGGCCATAGAATCATAAAAGCATTTAAGATCCAACAAGACCGTTCAAGGCTTTGATTTCTATAGTTGGTGTTATCATACACATATGTACGGTCCTATAATATTAATTATATTGGTTATTTATTACATTATCTATTGTGATTAATAAATTTACTTATTGCTTACGTTTTATTACTTTATGTTTTTTTTTTATGTATTTTTAGTTTGTCTATGAGCAAGTACTTACTCTGCCTGAGCTTGTTCCTTCTGTTGCTGCTGTTGCTGCTGCTCCTTCCATTTTTGTGGTAAATGCGAATGAAACATGTTATGATGCCTTATCCTATCATTGTTGGTTTCGCAAAGTTCTTGGCACCATTGACAAATCCATCCACGCTTTGGAATGATAACAGGCAACAGGTTCTCTGTCTGCTTTGCTTGGTTACGCTCAATGACATCCTTCTTCGTGGGATTTTTAGACAATCTCGATACAAGTATTTCTTTAAATTTAAATGGAAACTTTGCAGCAAAAGAAGTTTCCGAACCCTTTAAGTCCTTGTGCATGAGATTCCAGTGCTGTTTGATGGATGGCAGCGAGACGCTGCGAAGATTACAATAAACACAGCCATAGATTACAGCTGATGACGAATTGCTTTCTTCATTCTTTAATGTGTCAACATCTTGTTTTTGAGGCGTCGGTAGCTTAGTTTTTGTTTCATTAGAAGAAGAGTCTGTCGCTGACAATCGTTCCGTGTATTTTAGTGGTACCGAGGGATGATTTGATTCCCAATGCTCCACCATTTCTGCTTTGTACGAACAGCTATAAGTGCAATATAAACACTTGAGATTGTGTTGATGAGAGTGTGTTCTCATGTGACTTTTCAGGCCAGTGTAATTTACTGCTGTAAAGTTGCACACCTCACATTTCTCTAAACGATTACTAACAGAACTGATTGTGGTTGCGGAGACGGCGGTGGTGCTAACATTATTTTCTGTGTTCAATTTTCGTTTTTTTGTCTTCAGTGGAAGAAGACCATACTCCTTCTCCCAGAATTCGTTGCTTAGCTTTGTGTTTCCCCATGCATCCGGATTGTGTATAATATTTTCCGGATCGTGCGGATGTTTCGCGCGGATGTGCTGGCGCATCATTGTCTGCGAGTTGGTGCTACGGTCGCAGTAGGGACACAGAAAGCTGAGCCGTTTCAAATGTGAATATTGTACATGTAACTTGAATCCGCGTTGGCCAGCGAACGACGTCTGGCAATGCTTGCAGATAATTGGCTTGTCCAGATCATCATCGGTCTTCTCGCGAACTGCGCATAAAATCATGCATTTTATTTTATAGATCTTATAAATAAAACTGAGGTAATTCTAAATATAATCTATATACTTACGTTTATCGTTTTCGGATTTATCTTCGTTACTTTTAACCTCGTACACCTCATCCTCCTTCATATCGATTACAAGATCCTCATTGTCTCTGCTATCTCCGTCATCAGAATCTATGGTGCTTTTATTAGCATCTTCAAGAACATCTTTTTGCAGATTGGATATCGTAGATGCAAGATTCACGGACTTCTTATCGGCTGAGATCTTTATGGAACCAACATCTGAACTTGAAGAACTTGTATTAACGGGTATATTTTTATAGATAACATTCATGTGATTCCACGCCTTGATCATGTCCGTTTGCTTTTTCAATAAAGTCATCACCTGTAAATCATATATAACGTTTATTTATAATGTAAGAAAGCAAGATTTAATAAAATAAAATATTATATTTATATTTTATTTTATTATCATAAATTAATAATATTACTAAAAATTTTTATTTATTAAATATTAAAGAATATATTAAAATTTTAATAAATATATACCCAATCTTCAATAGCATTATCCGGCGAAAGTGGTTCATCTGTACCTTCTCCATTATGACGTTTCCCAATATGCAGCAATAATGCTTTACGATTTACCGATACGTATCCGCAAGTCTTGCAATGAAATCTAAACAGATATATTTACAAAAATCTCGTTTAGTAATAAAATTTACAAAAAGCAAAATTAATTTCTGAAAGTGCCTACGTTCCAGTAAAATAATAATTCAATAACTCAACAGTCTGTTAGCAAATTCGAATAAAATTGTAGCAGTTTGACATCTGACTGTAGCCATTACATGTATATTTGTATTCTGCTGATAAAAATTGTGTTAATATAACATAATAAGACATCCAGAATGCAATCTGAAGGTAAATTAACAACAGATTCTGCTCGATTTCAGACTACACTATAGATCTTTATGGCACGTTTGGCTGTCTAAATTTCAATATAATGTCACTTACCTAACATAGTTCAACTCCCTATAAAGATGATCTCTCATATCGTGCTTGTATTTCGATTTGAATTGATTACACAGCGTACAGACATACATATTGGCATCCGGTTTACCGTAAGGTCCAAATCTTCCCACATCGGAATCATTACCGTCGATCAATTCCATCGAATCT